GGGATTTGTTGTTGAGACGAAGATTTTTGTTCTCTGTTTATTGAGGTTTCTGGAATTCGTTTCGAGTGGGTTGATTTTGATTGGGGGAAATGAGGGATTTCGGTGGTTCCGATTACTAAAAACCCTAGGGTTTCCTCAATTGGTTTTGATACTTCAAATTTGGGGGGCATTTCTCTAATCGATTCTCTGTTCTTGATTACAGCCACGTAATTTCACAATGCTAGAAGCCAGAGACCGAATCGAGAGACCAGTGGATTACTCGGCCGTATTTGTCAACAGACGCAGCCACGGTGTGTTACTCGACGAGCCAGCCTCACGGCTTAGTTTGCAGAGATTGCCATCGGATTCTCAGGTGAATCCAGAACCTATTGGTCGAGGATCTTTGGTTGGAACAGGCGGGCTTGTGAGAGGCAATTTCGGTTCATGGAGGCCTGGTAATGGAAGAGGTCACAGCCCGTTTAGATTCTCACAGGGAAGAGAGAATATGCCTATGGTGTCTGCTAGGCGTGGAAGAGGTCGTGAATCAGCTACTGTGTTACCTTCTTGGTACCCAAGAACACCTCTACGCGATATAACTCATATTATTCGGGTAAATTTACATCTTGATTCTTCTGTATATAGTCAGTTTTGGTCTAATAATGTTTGGGCTCTCTCTTGTTTATGTAGCACATGGACAATGGTTTTGCTGAGTCTAAGTTTCCTCAATGGTTCCTTCTTCCAGCTGAATAAACATGGCAGGCTTGCTTAGCCTTATTTGCTTAAGCTGTAGCGTCATAGCTCTGTTGCCATAGGCTTGCTTAGCCTGGCGATTTACTGTGTTTATACTCTTTGATTTTAGGCTTTTGAGAGAAGAAGAGGAGCTGGTATGGGAGTAGGAGGCGACGGCCGGGAGATTGAGATCCCAACTCACCAACAAGTTGGTGTTCTTGAATCTCCAGTATCATTGTCAGGTGAACATAATTGCTTAATGGTGACTCCTGGTCCATATGTGGGATTCAAGCGTAATTGTCCACCGTCAACTGCTAAAGTCCATAAGATGTTGCTTGACATCACTAAAGAGATATCTGAGGAAGAAGAAGCAGCAGGCTTCATCACACCCGAGAAGAAGCTACTCAATTCTATTGACAAAGTAGAGAAGATTGTGATGGAGGAGATCCAGAAATTGAAGAGCACTCCTCGCGCTAAAAGGGATGAACGGGAGAAAAGGGTACGGACTTTAATGTCAATGCGATGATCCACACTTTGGATGGAAGGACCATAGAGGTATCAGGTAAAGAGTGCCTGCACAGTAAGTAGTAACATCATCGTCTGATGATAATATCAAAAAAAGACCTATGGATCATCATCTTCTGATGATGTCTTCTACAAGTTGGTTGATTTCATGGACTTGGTATCATTTACTGATGATTTTGCTACAAGGGCCAATCATCTTATTGATGATTTTATAGGATGTTGTTTTAGAGAAATCATTTTCTGATGATAGAACACATCAGGAATCATCTGCTGATGATAATATCATAGGAAGGATAATACTTTTGATAGTTCACACATTTCATGTTTTGTGTCTTTCCTTTAAGAAAAGTTGTTCCCTTGTAGAAGATCTCTCATTCCTGTTACGTTGAATAAATGAAAGTTTGTATATGTAAGTGCTGAATTTTGGTTTTGTCGGCAGAAATTGGTGATATCGGTGTGCCTATATATTCTTCATCCTGAGTCCTTAAGTTTGCTAAATATTTTTAAAATTCGTAGCTAAACCAGCAAACAATTTGACTGGGGGAAAAACATTAAACCATGCATTTTTGGTCAATCTAGATGATAGATGTGCTTTAGCTTTGAAGTGTTAAATCTTGTTTCAAGCTATGCATCATTACTCTTGACTATGGAGAATTAAGACATCAGATTTTAACTGGTAAACTATGGATAAGACGACATAATGGACCAGAGAAGATAGTTATGTGTGTATAGAAACCAAACACCAACTGAATCAGTAGCAAGAATATTAACAGTTAAATAGAGAAAAAGGGATTTTTTTGGAAAATAAAGAGATTATAGAGTGTCTTAAGGTGCCAAAATGAGGAGTTTTTCAATCACCCGATGACATCTAAACACGATCACAACGACACAAGACGACAAAAGATTCAGAGTTTGCCATCAGTTTTGGTGTTTCCCTTTCGAGGTTTTTCAGACATTAGGAGGATACTGCTTGGACTGCAGCTTAACCCTTTTCTTGTACTCAACTGGATCCTGCACATTTTCATCAAATTGAATCTCATCAAAATAAATCACTTTGGCTCATATGTTTCAGAAGCTATGGCAAGTAATGAGTCTTTTGAGTTGAGTGTACCTGAATGAAGAGATGATAACCATCGGTCTGTGCCGGGTCAGCGGGATTAGGTGTGTCAAGTAAATCCTGAATACCAACAAGAATCTGCTTCACTGTGATGGCTGGTCTCCATCCCTATCCAACATAACCATATATCAAAAGACAGATTGAGGATGAGGATGAGGAAGATGGATTTTACTTATGGAGAATCACATAGAAAGAAACATAAAAGAGTACTTACGTAATCCTCATTAAGGATCGAGAGACAGACAGTTCCAGATGGATAGACATTAGGGTGGAAAAAGCCTTGTGGGAATTTGCATTTAGGAGGCTTGCTTGGATAGTCCTCGCTGAAGTGCATCGTTAATGGAAAGAATCCTCCTTCCCAATCAGTCTGCAATGGGCATGTACAAAATTAGCATATGAATGATAGTTAAAAGACTGATATTAACACTAACTCTTGCACTATTTAAACTCTAATTAGCCATGTAGCAGAGACATCAAAAACAAATCCAGGTAAAAAAGGAAATATACAAAGCAGAGTTAAGTTCACACTCAATTACATCTTCAAGACCAAAATTTTAAGCACCAATTCAGAATATAATAAAAGCTAAACAGTGAGAGATGACAAAAGATAATCTTCCACGGTCCTCTGTGTAAGCAGCAGAATAATAAACCATTCGAAAGAAACAACCAGAATCAAAAGATGATAAACAAATACTTTACAGTGAAAACAAGTGAAGTAAGAAAAAGCCATGAACCCTAATTTCATTGTTTTTTTAATGGATTCTACCTACTAATCAGAAGCTGAATTAACAAGTAAAACAACACAGATGTATAAGAAAAACTCATAAACCCTAAATTTCATAATTGATCAGTGTTTATACTTACCCCAGCTTTACCAGGAATAGTACAATGCCACACCATTAGATTCACAGCACCATCAGGCCCAGTCTCCGGTTTCGCCACAAAACCCTAAATTTTTAATCACCATCAACACCAAAAAAAACCTCAATCAGGAATCA